GGACAGAGGATCTAAATCTGGCTCTGCCCTGACCGCAGGGAGCCCGATGCGGGGCTCGAACTCACAAACTGTGAGATCGTGACCCGAGCTGAAGTCAGCTGCTTAACCAACCGAGCCACCTAGGTAACCCTAGCCTTATACTTTTTTAAATGAATTCATGCCTGTGTGTGAGGTCCCCAAGGAGAAAGTATACAAAATGCAAATGAGGACTGGGAAGCACAGACATGTAAGGTGCAGAAAGGAAAAGAAGAATCTAAGAATGGGTCTCAGAAGAGACATCCGGAGGAAAAAAGGGGAACCCAAGGGAGGGGTATCCATGGAGGCAAAGGAGTGGGGAGTTTTCAGAAAGGCGTGTTTAGAGGCAGATAAGATCATAAATACTGAACGCATTTAGCAAGATGGAAGTGAACGAGGACTTCAGTGGAATGGTGGACCTTTGGGTGGAAGAACTAAAAGTAAAGAATTAGGGATCAAGAGCAACAATCAGCAACTGTTCTCTCATGGGGCATCTGGGTGGCTCAGTTCGAGCCCCGCCTGGAGTCTGCTTTGGATTCTGTCTCCCTCTCTTTGCCCTTCTGCTCTCTCTCTCTCTCTCTGAAGAATAAATAAAGATTAAAAAATTTTTTAAAAAGAAATTGTTCTTTCGTAAAGTTTGTGTGTGAGGGAGAATTATAGGATTTGTAATTTTTTTTTAATTTTTAAATGTTTATTTATTTTTGAGAAAGAGAGAGGGAGACAGAGAATCCCAAGCTGGTTCCACACTGTCGGCACAGAGCCTGATGTGGGGCTCAAATCCACGAACAGTGAGATCATGACCTGAGATCATGAACCGAGATCATAACCTGAGCTGAAATCAAGAGTTAGACGCTTAACTGACTGAGCCACCAGGGGCCCCAGGATTTGTATTATTTTGTCCACTATTGTCTTAGAAGAGTGACTGAAACGCGATACTCCCTTGATGCAAGTTGTTCTGATTGACTGATTGATTGAATGATTGTATCTTACACTGGGCTGTATATAGGTCAAGCTCATCAGCAGATTCTTAACTCTACTCAGATTGCCTGCAACCAGGCTACAACTTCTCTTGCCTGGGAGGCCACAAATAATAAGTATCTGCTGTACTGTGAGAGGGCGGGGTGGTAGCCTTACCTTTTCTAGAGCAGATCAGATCAGGTGATGCCGAGTATCACAGCAGGCCACGGGATTGCACAGTGCATTAATCAAGGGTGAATTTGTCTAGTCTTACTGAGTGGAGGGGTGATAAAATACCCATCAGAAGTTGAGACTGCTGAAGTGCCTGGGTGGCTCAGTCGGTTAAACGTCTAACTTCGGCTCAGGTCATGATCTCGCAGTTCGTGAGTTCGAGCCCCTCGTCGGGCTCTGTGCTGACGGCTCAGAGCCTGGAGCCTGCTTCGGATCCTGTGTCACCCTCTCTCTCCCCTTCCCCCACTTGTGTTCTGTCTCTCTCTCTCTCTCAAAAATAAAATAAATATGAAAAAAAAAGTTGAGATTACCGCAACCAAGTACTCCTAAAAAATGTGAAGGTAGATTAAGTACATCAGGCGATTTGGCAAACTAGGCTATGGTCTGGATTCTGAGCTACCCTTAGGCCTTATAAACTTTTCAAAGGTCTAAAAACTATCTGAGACCTAAAAGCAAACACCTCTAAAATACCCAGCCATCCATTGCCAAATTCCTGAAAAGCAAAGTAAATAAATGTTTAATTAAATACCAACAAAACGGGGCGCCTGGGGGCTCAGTCGGTTAAGCGGCCGACTCTTGATTTTGACTCAGGTCGTGATCTCATGGTTTGTGAGTTCAAGCCCCGCACTGAGCTCTGTGCTCACAGCACGGAGTCTGTTTTGGATCCTTTGTCTCCATTTCTCTGCCCCTCCCCCACTTGTGCTGGCTTTTTCTCACTCTCAAAAATAAATGTTAAAAAAAAACCCCAAATACTGGGGTGCCTGGGTGGCCCAGTCGGTTAAGTGTCTGGTCTCGGCTCAAGTTCGGGCCCCACGTCGGGGTCTGTGCTGACAGCTCAGAGCCGGGAGCCTGCTTTGGATTCTGTGTACCCCCCCTTTCTCTGCCCCTCCCCCACTTGTGCTCTGTCTCTATCTGTCTCTCAAAAATAAATGTTAAAAAAAAATTACAGGGGCGCCTGGGTGGCTCAGTCAGTTAAGCGCCTGACTTTGGCTCAGGACATGATCTTGCGGTCTGTGAGTTCGAGCCCCGTGCTGGGCTCTGTGCTGACAGCTCAGAGCTTGGAGCCTGTTTCGGATTCTGTGTCTCCCCCTCTCTCTGACCCTCGCCCGTTCATGCTCTGTCTCTCTCTGTCTCAAAAATAAATAAACATTAAAAGAAATTTAAAAAAAAAATTTACAAAAAAA